CCCCCTCCCCGCCCGCCCCCCCCCCCCCGCCACTGCGTCTACCAGCTGCCCACCAGTTGCTCCTGCCAGCAGTCTTGCTGGCTGCAATGGGTTTGGCTCTAGGCCAAATCAGTGATTTCAGCTTTTAGTGATTTCAATTCTTTAGCTACCCCCTAGGCTGGCAAAAGATTCCAGCTTCCACTAAAATAGCAAAAAGACTCCTGATGGAATCTGCTTTAGGTCTATCCTTAGAACAGGAGGGAAAAGAAACAGGTTGAACCAGTCTTACAGCTTACACCTGGCAGGCATGAAGCAGACTGGCTCAAACCCTTTCCCCCCAACTCAGTTCACTCCACTCTGGAAGGGGAGGCTTGTTCATCTGACACCCCTTATAGTGATGATGTCTTTCCTGCAAGCACTGGTGTCATATTTTACAGTTCCCACATTTAGGGGTGGCATGGTTTCTGAGCCCACAATCGTCCAAATTAGTTACAGTACATCACATTCCGTTCTAACAACCGATCCTCCATCAGCCCTGGCTGAATTGGATCTACATAACCACACTCCGGATTCCTTCCCCATCCCAGGATGAGCTGTATTTACATATCAACAGTTAATTGTCTTGCAGGGCTGCATTTCAAGCAGTCCTTTAGACCCCTGGCTTACAGGGAGAAGGGGGTGCTTACTGAGGTTGCCCAGGGTTGTGAGGGTGGCACTGCCCGAGCAGTGGCTCCTGCCAGGTGGCTGGCCCTGGCCTCCAACTTGTCGCTTCTAGCTGCCTCCCATCATGCAGCTGCTTAGGAGGGGGTGCACTTTGGGGGTTGCTCTCAGCCTCCAGTGCCCCCTGTCCTGGGGGACAGCACTCCTGGGGCTGGCCCTGGCCTCTAGCTGCTCTCTCCCTTCCTCCCCCCAGCCTGATTCCCAGGCATGGTCTCTCTTTAGGGGGGATTTCCTGGGGAGACAGGCTGTACTTCCCAGCCCTGGGACCTTGGAACAAAAGGGAGACCATGGCAGCAGAGCCGCTGGTCAGGCAGGCTCCCATCCATCTGATACTCAGCAGTGTAACTGTCCTCCACGCTTGCTGACCCCTTTGCTCTGCAGTATTGCTGGCCTCCGATCAGCCCCTTCTTTTTCCATGTTATGAAAAACAGTCCCATTCTGTGCACTTCGCATTCTCCGGGCATGACCAAACCCTGGCCCTACTTTAAGTTAGGAAGCTGCATATCAAATTTGGTGGTCCTAGCTCTTACCGTTTTTTAGGAGGAGTTCTTGAACAAACTGACTCAAGGAGAGAGGAAGAGACAGATGCACTCTAAAATAGAGATAGAGATAGATGTGGAAAGATCCCAGGGCTCAACAGTAGCCCAAAAACTCTCCAAGTGGATCTCAAACTGCATCAGACAGTGTTACTAAGTTTATAACACAACTCCACCAGACTCTATTAATACATACTCCACAATGTCAATCTCTTCATCCATCACCTTCTTCAAGAATATCCCTATCTACGGGTACGTCTACATTTGCAGCCTATTTCAGAATAGGGCTGCAAATGTAGTTATTTGGAATTGTAAATCAAGCCCAGGATTTAAATATCCCACGCTTGATTTGCATTTTCCTGGCCGGGCGCCACTTTTGAAATTTACAAGCCCAGAATAACTGCCCACGTCTACATGTGTCAGTGAAACAGGCGTTCAAAATAAAGCCCTATTTCAAACTACCTATTAAACCTCATTGCAGGAGGAATAATAGAGGAACTCAGCACCTGCAGTGCAGGATGAATCTTTTATGGGCCTCAGTACCCAGATTGTAGTCCCACTCCCTGAGGGGTAGAGAGCACAGAGGAGCACCCACTGACAAAAACAAAAGTCAGCACCTGTACTCCGTGGTGCTGTCATTTGTAAGTGACCCAACTCCAAAGTCCCAGCCCTCCAGAGGGAATACTGTTTAGGAGGCACTTACACTGGAGCACTCCCATAGGGACACTACTCTAAGTAGTGTGCTACCAATCATTCTTCAAGACAGGGGTGACTGGTGAAGAAGGATGCAGGAGGGGCACCTCCCCCCAATACCCTTCATGTAACTTCTCTCCATGCAGCCCAGGGGAGGGACAGGATAATGGCAGGGACATTTGACTACCTGTATTTCTTTTCTTCAGTATCAGTGTTTGCAACTACCTGAACTCATGGACAAATGGATTTTGAATCTCTAATCTAAACTGAGTCAAAAAGAGAAAAATTTCAGAAACAGCAACTGTATAAGAAGAATATTTGATCTAGTTAAAATGTTTTTTTTAATTTTTAATAATAGTAAATTTATATGTTTGTGTACACTACAGTGGAAGATCTGTCTAGGAGAAAGAAGAATGAGGAACAAGGACATCACCTTTATAAAAAGAGCATCAAAATACTGAAACATTCCAAAAGCAAAAAAGAGAAGGAGAAGTAAGTTTATACTCTAGTATGTGGGCCTAAATCAATAATAAAGATAATAATGTGCTTTAAAGACAAACAAGAACATGCACAAACTGAGGAGTTTGCAGTCTAGGCTTCAGTCCTATGTGAGTTTTATCCTACTGTACAGTTCCTGGCACAGATAGTCACTGACATCAGTAGAACCCTGAGAGTGGAAAAATATTACTGGGCATAACTTTTGACAGGATTGAGACTGATGATATTGAGTTCAACATTACTGAATATTTCAATTCTAGACTGATTGGCATTTAACTGGAATTTTGCATTCTACATTGGAAAAACAGTGAAAAGACACACATGTCAGCAAAAAAATCAATTTGATTCAAATTAAGTCTAAAAGTTGTGGAAAAATTCTCGTAAATTAAATAAAAAAGTCTGTTTGCCCTGGCAGGCTCCTGGGAGCTGGCGGACTGCTCCTGGGGAGCGGTGGAGGGCTGACTGGCAGTGGCTTGCTGGCTCATGTTTTGGGGCCACTGGGTCGGGGCAGTGACTGCTGGCTCTGGGCTGGCAGGCTTGGAGGTGGCACAGGCACTGTGTCCAGAGTCAACCCCTTTAAGAGCCCCAGGGAGGGGGAAGGAGAGGAGTGTTCTTTGTTGATGCTAGAGTGGCCACCAGGGTTCCCTGGGAAGGCTGGAGGCCCCCTATTTCGAAATAAGTGTCTACACAGCACTTATTTTGAAATAGCTATTTCGAATTTGGCGTTATTCCTCTTGGAATGAGGTTTACCAAATTCGAAATATGCGCTCCGCTATTTTGAATTAATTTTGAAATAGTAGTTTGGCTGTGTAGATGCTAGTAAAGTTACTTTGAAATAACGGCTGTTATTTCAAAATAACTTTGCTGTGTAGACACACCCTGATATTTCTGGAAAATTCTCTAGCCATTGCATCTTCTATATCTCAAGTGAGTTATAAGAATCTATGATTTTATGATTCTATGAAAGCAGCAGCCTCACCACAATAGTTTCAGGTTGGCTAGCACTATATTTGTGGCAAACAAACTATGCACCTGAAAAGTTTCACCCAGCTCTATTTATCACATGAATTTGAAGTTACTGTTCAAAGAAGGTTGCTGCAAAGAAAGAAACTGAAACTTCTCTGCTATCAAAGAAGGATCTGTTAGTTAGTTTTCAGGAGTACAAAATAGAAATTAGTACATGAACAAGTACATTTCAGTTGCTTAATCTCCTCTTGGAGATACAAAGTCTCAGAGGGATAGCCAATGTTAGTCTATAACTTTAAAAACAATTAGCAGTCCTGTGGCACCTTAGGATACGTCTATACTACAGAGCCACTTCCAACCAGACACGTTTTTTTGGCATCCTTGTAAACCTCATTTTATGAGGAAGAAGGGATGTTCCAAAATAAGGGTTTTTTCCAACATTTGGCCCTGTGTAAATGGGCCAAATGTCGGAAAAGCCTCTTTCGGAAGAAAAATGGAAAAAAATACGCAAATTGTGGTTTGCAATTTTTCTGACTTTTCTTTGTAGTGTAGATATAGCCTTAGAGACTAGGTGTCACAGGACTGCTCATTATTCTTAGAGATATAGTTACTGTATATGAGATGAGAAATTAAGATCAGATGATTAAGCCTGAATTCCATATTATTGAATCAGAGCTTACCAACTCCTTACCAAAGCAGCAGATATGGGACATTTAAAAGCTATGGAGAAACTGGCTGATGCTTTGCTGTTTGGGTATCATGGTCTTCAAAATATAACTGCAGCTGTGACATTATATGAGACTTTGGCTGAAAAAGGATCTCATAAAGGCCAAACTGTAAGTAGGGTTTTGGGGGGTGGGAGTTAAGTGGATAAAGTTTTAAATAGGACATTGCTCAAATGAAAAGCTTATTAATATTTGAAAAGCAGTAAAGTGTGGTCTACTTCCTTTGCCTATATATTGGTATATTGTGGGACCACCCAACAATTGAGTATTAATCAAATTTGTTTTAATCATTCTCTAGCTAAATCCACTTTAAATGGTAGCACCAGATTACAACTGGAATTTTATAAATTTACTTGACTTTTCGTTATATATGTTGTTTGTTTTGTTTTTAAAACTTTATTCATGTTGCACAATTGACATAAACTAGTCACTCTCACTTACTGGTATGTTTGTAGTCAGTTTAACTTTCTCAAGCACTAGGAATAAAGTGCAATTTGAGAGGTCTATATGCTCCAGGCAATGTTTAATTAGAAACATATTCAAGTATCAGAGGGGTAGCCATGTTAGTCTGAATCTGAATAAACAACAAGAAGTCCTGTGGCACCTTATAGATTAACAGATTAATTGGAGCATAAATTTATGTGAGCAAAGACCCACTTCGTCAGATGCATGTAGTGGAAATTGCAGAGGTAGGTATAAACAGGGCTCAACAAATAACGTAATCTACTCACCCGTGGCGAGTAGATTACAACCCGGAAGAGCCGGCGCAGAACAACATACGCATGCGCAGAGCGTAGAACCATGCAGCTGGCGAGCGGGGCTTGCAGCCACTTGGCAAGCCCTGGGTATAAATATACAGGCACATAAACAGAAAGGAGTACCAATCAAGAGGAAGGCCAGAGATAACGAGGTCAATTCAGTCAGGGAGGATGTCGCCCACTTCTAGCATCAGGAATGGTAACATACAAAAACCTTTAGGAGAACACTTCAGTCTCCCTGGACACACAGTAGTGGATTTAAAAGTAGTCTTCCTGCAACAAAAAAACTTCAAAAACAGACTTCAAAGAGAAACTGCAGAGCTAAAATTCATTTGCAAATTTGACACTATCAGATTAGGATTAAACAAAGACTGTGAATGGCTAGCCAACTACAAATGTAGTTTCTCTTCTCTTGGTGTTCATACCTCTACATCAGCAGCTAGAAGTGGGCCACAGCCTCCCTGACTAAACTGACCTTGTTATCTCTGGCCTTCCTCTTGATTGGTACTCCTTTCTGTTCATGTGCCTGTATATTTATACCTGCCTCTGGAATTTCGACTACATGCATCTGACTAAATGGGTCTTTTCCCACAAAAGCTTATGCTCCAATAAATCTGTTAGGGTATGTCTACACTAGCCCCCTAGTTCGAACTAGGGAGGCTAATGTAGGATTTCGAAGTTGCAAATGAAGCCCGGGATTTAAATATTCCGGGCTTCATTTGCATCTGCCCGGGTGCTGCCATTTTTAAATCCCCCGTAGTCCTAACTCCATGCCCGCGGCTACACGCGGCACAGAGTAGGTAGTTCGAATTAGGATCTCTAATTCAAACTGCTGTTACTCCTCGTGGAACGAGGTATACCAATAGTTCGAATTAGAGATCCTAATTTGAACTACCTACTCCGTGCCGTGTGTAGCTGCAGGCACGAAGTTCGGACTAAGGGGGATTTAAAAATTGTGGCGCCCAGGAAGATGCAAATGAAGCCCAGGATATTTAAATCCCGGGCTTCATTTGCAACTTTGAATGCCTACATTAGCCTCCCTAGTTCAAAGTAGGGGGCTAGTGTAGACATACCCTCAGTCTATAAGGTGCCACACGACTTCTCGTTGTTATTTTACAAATATATTGTTTTCCATTACTATATCTTTAACTTTTAAATCTAATTTTTCAGACTAACCCACCACCTACTAGTAACTTGATTATTTTTAACTGTGGATATTTGTACACAGATGCTGAAAATTATGTTTAGTTGTTGCAGTTGTAGCTAGTGACATTATCCAGAATTTTAACTTTCTGCTAGACAATCGTTTTCATTAAAAATACAAAATATTGTATCATTACATGATGGGGAACTTTGAGTTGCTTAATCTCCACTATTACACACCAGATGTCACTGGAAGGAATTTTGCAGGGGAGTAAATCCACATGTCTTTTAGCTACAAGGGCTAACAGGACTCCTTTCAAACCTAATGGACCTGACCCAGTTGCTAAGATTGTCTACAGAACCATGCTAGATTCTGAATCATTCACATCACCTTAGGACCTACTGTATCACCTCCATAATATGCTTAATCTACGTTCACACAATGGCAATAAACAGGACCACTTGAATAGTAGACCCAATTCATCAAGATAAACCACATAATTTTAATCATAATACAACAATGAATAAGTCATCCAACCTTTCTGGATGATTCATATGTCCTTGAATTGACTATTATGTTAAAAAAGGTATGTAAAGTAGCATACACAAAAGCAGTGTGATACCCTTTGTATTAGATGTCAGTTAAGACATACCCAGATGCTAGACATAGATTTGTTTGGGTGCATCCACCTATTGAGAGGTATCTGGAATAAAATGAATTGGTAAACAAAAATTCTCAGACCATCCCACCTCTCACTCTGATGTTTACATAAATGTATTGTGATCTTGTTATGCTTAGGTATCCTTGTTGTCACATTTGCTACTTCAATAGCCTTGTTAAGGATATCTTGTGTTTGCTTCAAATCTCATGGCAATAATGGAACTAATCAATGTGGCTTTTTATTCAAACTAAACAGAAGACATAGTCTGTCTTATTTGAAGTAAGTCTGGAAACAGTGTGTTAGCATAGGTCCTGGAACTAGTGGGGCTGCCATTCCCTGCCTTGAAGTAGTTTCCCTGCCTTGAAGCGGTTTCCATTATATACAGGGTTTACAGTTTGGCTAAATGGCTCTCAGCACCCCCAGTATAAAAACTGCTTCAGCACCCCAGTGTGTTAGTGTGACTGGTGCCTGGAATGGACCACACTGAAAATGTGAAACACAGGGCAGACTACAAGAAATTGGGCAGACATTCCCCTAAAACTGGTGGGTTATTCTATAATGAGATTCATCAAGCCAGTAACAAAAGAGATTCTCTAGTGCTGCCCTGGTTAACAAGAAGTCAAATGCAGTCACCTTTAGGTATTCCAGCCTTTGGATCTCATGCAGACAAGTTGATCTAATATAGTGAAAGGTTATTGAAAACTCTATTTACCATATGTGATCCCAAAGGACCAGACACTTACCCTGGGTCAATGTATGGCTCAGATCTTACCAAAATATCACAATGTCAACCCATCCTTAGAAAGCTAACAAAAAATTATTAAGAAAAAATAATTATTGAACAGGTAAAAGATTCTATAAATTAAAAATGCTTATGAGGTCCTTATACCAGGTTTGTAGCAGTGAGAGATGAGGCTGCACATTTGTAAAAGTCTGTTTGGAATTATCACAAAAGGTTAAAATCCAAATGTAGCTTAGATGTAAAGTCAGAGTATTTCCCTGCATTTTCCAAAGCAGTCCAAATAACTACATTACTTTACACTTATCCACACAAGAACCTCTTCAAAGAACTCTGATGGATTAGTAAGACATGATTTCCCTTTACAGAAACCATGTTGACTTTTGCCCAACAAATTATGTTCTTCTATCTGTCTGACAATTTTATTCTTTGCTATTGTTTCAACTAATTTGCCCGGTACTGACATTAGACTTACCTGTCTGTAACTGCCGGGATCGCCTCTAGAGCCTTTTTTAAATATTGGTGTTACATTAGCTATCTTCCAGTCATTGGGTACAGAAGCTGATTTAAAGGATAGGTTACAAACCATAGTTAATAGTTCCGCAATTTCACATTTGAGTTCTTTCAGAACACTTGAGTGAATGCCATCTGGTCCCGGTGACTTGTTATTGTTAAGTTTATCAATTAATTCCAAAACCTCCTCTAATGACACTCCAGTCTGTGACAAGTCCTCAGATTTGTCACCTACAAAGGACGGGTCAGGTTTGGGAATCTCCCTAACATTCTCAGCCAGGAAGACTGAAGCAAAAAATTCATTTAGTTTCTCCGCAATGACTTCATCGTCGTCAAGTGCTTCTTTTGTATCTCGATTGTCCAGGGGCCTCACTGGTTTTTTAGCAGGCTTCCTGCTTCTGATGTACTTTAAAAAAAATTTGTTATTATCTTTTGAATTTTGGGCTAGCTGTTCTTCAAACTCCATTTTGGCTTTTCTTATTACTTTTTTACACTTAATTTGACAATGTTTATGCTCCTTTCTATTTCCCTCACTAGGATTTGACTTCCACATTTTAAAAGATGTCTTTTTATCTCTCACTGCTTCTTTTACGTGATTGTTTAGCTACAGTGGCTCTTTTTTAGTTCTTCTACTATGTTTTATTAATTTGGGGTATACAATTAAGTTGGGCCTCTATTATGGTGTCTTTGAAAAGTGTCCATGCAGCTTGCAGGGATTTTACTTTAGTCATTGTATCTTTTAATTTCTGTTTAACTAACCTCCTCATTTTTGCATAGTTCCCCTTTCTGAAATTAAATGCCACAGTGTTGGGCTGCTGAGGTGTTCTTCCCACCACAGGAATGTTAAATGTTATTATATTATGGTCACTATTTCCAAGTGGTCCTGTTATAGTTACCTCTTGGACCAGATCCTACGTGCCACTCAGGACTAAATCGAGAATTGTCTCTCCCCTTGTGGGTTCCTGTACCAACTGCTCCAAGAAGCAGTCATTTAAGGTATCAAGAAATTTTGTCTCTACATCTCGTCCCGAGGTGACATGTACCCAGTCAATATGGGGATAGTTGAAATCCCACACTATTATTGAGTTCTTTGTTTTGATAGCCTCTCTAATCTCCCTTAGCATTTCATAGTCACTATTACTGTCCTGGTCAGGTGGTTGATAGTAGATCCCTACTGTTATATTCTTATTAGAGCAGGGAATTACTATCCATAGCGATTCTATGGAACATGTTGATTCATTTAAGATTTTTACTTCATTTGATTCCAAATTTTCTTTCACACATAGTGCCACTCCTCCACCTACAAGACCCATTCTGTCCTTCCGATATATTTTGTACCCTGGAATGATTGTGTCCCATTGATTGTCCTTACTCCACCAGGTTTCTGTGATGCCTATTATATCAGTATCCTCCTTTAACACAAGGCACTCTAGTTCACCCATGTTAGTTTTTAGACTTCTAGAATTTGTGTACAAACACTTTAAAAACTTGTCACTGTTTATTTGTCTGCCCTTTTCTGATGTGTGAGATTCTTTTTTATGTGAATGTTTTTCGTCTGATCTGTCCCATACTTTATCCTCTTCCATCCTCTCCTCTTGACTAAAACCTAGAGAACCTCTATCAATAGACTCTCCTCTAAGGCTACGTCTAGACTGCAAGTCTCTTTCGAAAGAGGCTTTTTCGAAAGATACTTTCAAAAAAGAGTGTCAAGAGTGCAAGCAGTACTTTTGAAAAAGCAAGCCGCTTTTTCGAAAGAGAGCACCCAGGCAGTCTGGATGCTCTCTTTCGAAAAAGCCCTGTTTTCAGATTCTTTTTTATGTGAATGTTTTTCGTCTGATCTGGCCCATACTTTATCCTCTTCCATCCTCTCCTTCTGACTCAAACCTAGAGAATCTCTATCAATAGACTCTCCTCTAAGAGATGTCCCTGTCCGATCCACTTGCTCCTCTGCACCAATTGGCTTTACCCCATCTCTTAGTTTAAAAACTGCTCTGTGACCTTTTTAATGTTAAGTGCCAGCAGTCTGGATCTACTTTGGTTTAGGTGGAGCCCATCCTTCCTCTATAGGCTCCCCCTATCCCAAAAGTTTCCCCAGTTCCTTATAAAGCTAAACCCCTTCTCCCTACACCATTGTCTCATCCATGCATTGAGACTCTGATGCTCTGCCTGCCTGCCTAGCCCTGAGTGTGGAACTGGAAGCATTTCTGAGAATGCCACCATAGAGGTCCTGGATTTCAGTCTCTTTCCTAGCAGCCTAAATTTGGCCTCCAGGACATTTCTGCTACCTTTCCCTATGTCATTGGTACCTACATGTACCACGACCACCGGCTCCTCTGCAGCACTACACATAAGTCTATCTAGATGCCTCGAGAGATCCGCAACCTTCGCACCAGGTAGGCAAGTCACCATACGGTTCTTTTGGTCATCGCAAACCTATCTATCTACATTTCTAATGATCAAATCTACCATTACTAACAACTGCCTTTTCCTACTGACTGGAGTTCCCTCCCCCAGAGAGGTAACCTCAGTGTGAGAGGATACCCCAACATCTGGAAGGAGGTCCCAACTATGGGAAGGTTTCCCTCTGTTCCCATTGACTGCTCTCCTTCCCTGAGTCTTTCATCCTCCTTAACAGCTCAGGGGCTGTTGGACCAGAGGTGGGACAATTCTGCAGTGTCCCGGAAAGCCTCAACTACATACCTCTCTGCCTCCCTCAGCTCCTCCAGTTCAGCCACCCTGACCTCCAAAGCCCATACATGGTCTCTGAGGGTCAGGAGCTCCTTGCACCGAATGCACACGTACGCCACCCACCCATAGGACAGGTAATCATACATGCTACACTGAGTACAATAAACAGGATAGCCCCCACTGTGCTGCTGGGCTTCTGCCTGAATTCTCTCCTACAGCTACCTAGGTTATTGATAGGTTTTCTAGTTAAATCAGGAAGTTTTGATTAAAACCTTTAAACTAAACTATAAAGACTAGCAAGTGTACCTTGGCCCCTTTCCAACTCCCTCTCAAAACTCCCTGGTCACTGACTCACTGCTTTATAAAGCCCTGCCCTTCCTGATAGCCCCGCCCTCTGACTAAGGCTCAGCCAATTAACAGAGGCTTCTATACTTCAAACCTTCAACCACTTACCTCAAGGGTCCCGTGTTTGCCCCTCCTTTACCTGGAGAACTCCCTCTCAAAACTCCCTGTTTGCTGCTTCTGTTCACAAAGCCACTCACAGTCAGCTCTCTGTGCTGTTCCTCTCTGGAGGGGCAGTACTGAAGACAAAGCCAAGGTGAGCATGACTTTAAGCCAGATTTGCACCCTCCAAATTCAAGGCTTCTGTGGGGGCCAAAATGCAACTCAGGAAGCCTTGGGAGCAATTCAGAATTACAGCAGACTCCCTTCTGCTACCAATGGCTTGTACGGGATGTGTGGTACCACCCTTCGTGGTCTATTCCCACTAGGGCTTCCTCTATTCTGGAATTTTCAGGTGAACTAATGGTATATAGGTATAGGACAGGGATGGGGAACCCTTTTTAGGTTGGGGGCCACTGACACACAGAAAAATCAGTCAGGGGCTGCACACAAGTGAGAAACTAAAAACAAACAAACAAAAAACCCATCCCCAGCATGGGTTCCCCAATGCTGGGGGGTTCCCCGAGCCTCAGAGGCCAGATCCAGTCAACCAAGGGGCTGCATCTGGTCCCCAGGCCTTAGGTTCCCCACCACTGGTATAGGGACTAGTAGTATTAGTTGAAGACATTCACCTTTGTTTCCTCTTAGAAATGCCAGAATCTAGAGATCATCAGGGTGAAATTCAAGATGCATTCATGTTAACATTTTATTGTCTTTTGTTTGTTGAATTTCCTTCATTAACACCTAATTTCCATGGTGACAGGCTCTACAAAAGAGAATAGAAATTTTTGAAACACATTAAATCATTTATAATCTCCGCACAATATTCAGTCTAAGTGCTATTCTGCCAGCTCTGGCTCAGAATAGCAATAGTGCTTATGTCCATTGGAATTCTGTAAATCCTATTAAAATAATTTACCAACTCATAAATGATACAATAGCAAAATATAGCTACAAATTAAATTATGATGTTTTATTGTCTTGGGCCAGTGCCATAGTCTAGTACTATAGATGGCTTTTCCATTTATTTATCTGAGAGAATTAAGTTACAGAACTGATTTTATAGATTAAGAGATTCCAGGGCCAAAGTACCTAATGGAAAACACCTGGGGCAACATTATAATAATCAGATGAAGCTAATGGCTATAAACTAGTCCAAAATACTCAGCATCAACATTGACCCTGACACTGCTCTGCAGAACTACTAGGTAAAGAAGATCTATAAACTACCATTAAGCCCTTTCCTATGTCATTCTGTGACTTGCGCATTACATGGACATGTAACTGCCAACAGGCAGATTCCAACATGGGACTTTTGGTAGTTTCGTGTAGGAGCCCCGAGTTTGAGCTATAAAGCCAGGTGGCTTGCAGCTTAGGCCGTAGAGCTCACTTATTCTTCTCTCTCACTGTAAGTGGTCTAAGTACCACTACATGGGATAGTGAATTGCACCCCATACATGTGTGGGTTACAGACACACTCTATGAGATCCTGTTTTATTCCACAACTGAACACAACATTTACACAAATGCATAACTGTAGTCTGTAAGCATATATTTAAGTGTTTTGCTGAGTCAAGGACTTAGATTAGTGATTAATACTTTATATAAGCCTAACATGCACACCTGACAGGTAACAAAAAAGGAAGCATTTTAGCAAGTTACTAAATGAAGACTGCATAACCCCAGTTAGTAGAGTTTTAACTCTTTAAAAGCTCATTGAAAATCAGAAAAGAAATAAAATAAATCAGGAAGCGTCTGATACAGTTTGTATGAACAAAACAAATGACCACACTTAAATAAATGTTCTAACATTTGCTTTTATTTTGGAGCTGCAGGCTTTAGGATTTATGTTTTCATATGGCATAGGAATGGAGTATAATCCAGCCAAGGTAAGAAAAATTAAAAATTGATATGCTAGTCTTTGAAAAATTAAAGAAATGATTTACCAAAATACCATTGGTTTTGTTTTTTCATTCCTTGTATAATATTTTGTTTCTGTGTTTTAGGCTCTTGTTTATTACACATTTGCAAGTCTTGGAGGAAATTTGATATCCAAGATGATTTTGGTTTGTAAATTATATATTTGGCAGCTCTATTTCTTGTTCTCCATACAATAATCCAAAATTTAAAGAATAAGAAAAATATCAGTTAATTATTGTTTTAGGGATACCATTACTGGGTTGGAATAAATGTTCCAAGAAATTGTGAAACAGCACTTACAAATTACAGGAAAGTGGCATATTTAGGTAAGTGGTCCATATGTCATTACTGTTGTCATATCTCATTTTAGAGCAAATGAAAAATATTATGTGAAGTGAAGAAAGACAATTTTTCATTCATAACGAGTAATTACACCAGATTCTGTTATCAGATGCACAGATGTAACTTTCATTAAGAGCAATAAAAGCTGTGCACATTTATTTAAGTGTAGAGTTTAAGCTATGTAATATTGCCATCTCATGAGTTCTATCAATTGTCTGTACTTTCATATAGTGCCATAGTTAAAATAATATTTTGGAAACATGGTAGGCACATCACAATCAAAGTTCTAAGACAGCTTTCATTGGAAGTCTGCTTTTGACATCCCCATCTCCACAAAAGGAAGTGAATCAAGCCACTACCTGGACATCATTGGCTATGCTGCTTTCCAGGCAGTGCCACCAATTTAAGGGACTGATGGCATAAAGGAGGTTGCTGTTACCCTGCATCACTGCAAACTTAAACCTTAGACAAATTGCTACTGGGCTCTCCTGTCCTAATCATGGAAACTACTATGACACTGGAACTTTAGAAGCTCCGTAATTATGTAGCTGCCAAACCACAATCAAGCTTCAAGAAAACTATATGTAAGTCACCAATCCAGCCAATGTAGCAGTAGCTTGTGTTACCTGCATTTCTTCACTGGGGTTAGAGGCAAAATCCATTCAGCCATTTGAGTTATGAGTTTGCCCAAACATTTTCCTCTTCATAACTGAACATGTCCAGTATCAGCTGGAAGCAGGGGTCGGGGTATGTTTTATCTTACATTCCAAAACCATATATTGTTATGAATAAGTTTGTTATGGAAACAGATGACACTCTCCAGTATACTTGTTGAAGGAGGGCAGAGGTAGGGGGAAAAGTTAACACTGATGTTAAAATGTTCACTGTTTTTTGAACTCCCAATGTTTTGAACCCCCAAAGTTTCACTGTCATTTGTTAGACTGTAACATTGTTACTTTTTTAAAGTGACATTCTCAACTTTAACTTTTTAACTTTAATTTATCTGGGTAAAGATATTCTTTCTCTGTGACTTATAATGTGATCTTTACATAATATTCTGTAAGAAAAATGAAAAATCAACTTTTCATACCTGAAAGTCATATACACCAAATTAAAGAATCTTGTATTATTATTAATTTGTCATATTTTTCCCATTTATCAATTTTGTTCTTAAAACAGCATCTATAAAATGCCACTTATTGCTATGCTCTTAGCAATAATTATTGACCTTAATGTACAAGTTATTAAAGTAATTTTTATATTTTACTTTTAGTTCCTCAAATACATACAAATCATCTTTATGGGAGAGGCATAAATGCAGCAATAACCAGTACATTTCTGGCAGGAATGAATGTGATTTCAGTAAACATAGTTGTCATTTCTAAGGGCAGTCCATATTGGCCTTCCATCTACATGACATAATACCAAGATGCAAATCTAGGCACTATTGCTTTTTCCAAGTTCTTTACTTTTGTTCCGCTTCACATAAAACAAATAGCAGAAGTTTCTTCATCTTCTCCTCACTTTCTATAGTTATTCATTTTTATTTCTCAACTTACTAGTTGAAATTCAGTCCTACATTAAATATTGCAACTGGTGTGAGGATTTCCCATCAGCTCTTTGAAGTGTCTTTTCAATTTACTAATCTAATGGGTTTGCTTGTCATGTTTCCTCCATTGCTGCTGCTACATAAGATCTAGACAGCAAAGGCAGATATAATTTTTTTTTGAATTTAGCACTGTATAAATTATGCTAGAACCAAACAACAATATCTAAAAAAGCAAAAATATATCCATAGAGGCCTGTTCAATGGAATCACTTTATTTTTATAAGTGAGCAATACCCTTCTGAATAGCATAACAATTACTAAAACTATAGGGCTGAGTCCCTTGCTCGCTATGCTCGCCAACACCCCTCCCCCCCAGTCACCAAGGCCACACTACCCCTGTTTTTCCTCCTTCCCACATCATTGCACCAGTCCCGGCTCTCCCCTCCTCCACCCCAGTGTCTGTGCCAGTCCTGGCTCTCCCCTCCTCCTCACTTCCCCATCACACCATCCCTGGCTCTCCCCTCCTCCTCACCCCCCTGCTGCACCAGCCCTGGCTCTCCCACCCTGGCCGCCAGGGAGGGCTGAGCCAAGGTAGTTCCGGCTCTCCCTGCAGCTGCTGAGGAGGTGAAGGATGAGCCAGAGCTGCAGCGTGGCAGCCCTGGCTTTCCATGTGGCCCATGAAGAAGTCCAGGCCAGGAGTGGTTGGGGCTTGGCTCCTGGGGACTTTGATGACATGATGATGTTATTGTGTCATCCTGCAGGAATTTTTTTGTATATAGAAAGAAAAGAAAGATGTGTAGTACTGGATGTTATACTTGGTTCTACTTTATTTGGCTAACCAGGTTTTTTTTGCATAATTTTATATAACCCTATGTAATGTACTAGCCACATTAATAATCTCTATATTGCTAAATATAATATTTTCGTATTATACTCTTGTCATTTTTATTAAAAGTTGCTGATAAACTAAAAAAAAATGAAGATATGCTAGTAGAAAAAGTGAGACTGGTGGAAAAATCAGAAAATTTGAGTTCTAACAATGACTTCTTAGACTGGGATGTACACCAATACTACAAGTTTTTGGCTGATAGAGGAGACACACAGATACAGGTAATGTATAAAACTAGGATACTTTTTTTCTGGAAAACTATTCACTTATGGGGACAGGACAGTATTCATGAAGTACAAATATTTTGTCATATGGACCTTATCCTGCAGCACTCAACTCAATGGAAACAGGATTTGGACACACAAGGAAAGTGGGTACATTCCTTGGTATGGGGAAATCCCTAAATGGCATTGAACCATTTGTTTCCATTGGAATCCATGCAAACACAAAGGATCTGATTGCAGAATTAAGGCCTTAGAATGTCAGGCCTTTAGGCATGGATCACATATTTGTGCAGTGTCTCATACAGTGGGGTGCCAACCTTGATTAGAGTTTCTGGGTATTAAGATAAAATGCAGAAAAGACATGGTATTTTATTAGGTTAAGCCAAAACTATAACAATATTTATTTCATCATATGAAAGCATTCAAGGTATGCTATTTGCTCAGAAGTTTCTGCTCATGGTGAATTTATGGCATTTTTTCTGGGATTTCAGAAAGACAGAGAATGTTGCTGAAATACATTGTTTTGAATAATTATTTCTAGGTATATCTTGGTCAATTACATCTTGCAGGAAGGAAAGGACTAGAGAAAGATCATTCTGTAGGTATATTTAAATAAGAGCTGAAGATTTAATCTTGCAACATTAGTTTTAACTATAACCAGTTTATTTGCATATATGAATATTCTGCACTAAACTATAGTCATTTAACTTTATTGATTCTGTAAATTAAAACTCCCATTATGACTTTATTCTACAGGGTTTCACTTAGCATGGTTATGAAGGTGAATGGGCTCAGACAGACTATCTGGGCTCCATAATTATCTCAGCACCCCAAAGCAGCCAAAAAAGTTTCAGTGCACTATTACTGCATATAAATGTGTATGAGAAAGGAAGGAATCAAAGACAAGTTTCTTTCCTAATCCTGTGGGGAGAAGAGTAAGTAAGGCAGTTAGTCTCTTCCCTTTCTATTCTTGCCTGTCAGAGTAGAAGATGAGATGAATTTTGGCCTCTGGGGTAGTGCAGCTTCTTAGGGTCCTCAGAAATTCAAAGAACTAAGCAGTTCTTTATGCTTAAGACTGACATTGTAAGAAGACATATACTGTAATTCATGTACATATAAAAAGCACTGATGACATTTTGTGCTTATCTGAGAGTTTTTAGGCACAAAGCTGACATTGACGATTGTGGGAGGGGAAGGCAAAATAATGTTTCTGAAAGATAATCACATTATGGAGAACACTATTGGTCACGTGCATTGTAACAAAAATTTGTAAAAACTCGTTCATATGGCCTCTATGCTGACAATTTGTTCCTATCTATGTGTGCTTAGGTAATGGATCTAGATGCTCTGTTCTGACCTTTGATTCAGCCATTACTCACCTATCATACCAGACCAAGGCCCTGATTCTGCAAAGATTAATGTGCATAAACAGTCCTGAGTGGGACTACATATGGGCATACATTTATGATAATGTGTAAGCACTATCATAAATTTTCAGTGTTGTGAGGCTTTCTGGTCTGACTAAATCATGAGCAGTTTCAATGTTATGCAAAACATTTGTCTTGGTTGAATTTACAAAAAACACCTTTTTCAAGTGAAAAATGTAACTTTGTTATTGCTTTTTATTCAGAAAGCTTTCTACTATTTCCTAAAGGCAGCAAAAGCAGGGAATACACATGGCATGGCACTCCTGGGAAAGGTACGTCTTACTTTTCATGAGATTAATTTAGTAACTTGCAATGGTCAAGGACTAGATAATGACTAAACTTAAAGTAGATACCCAGTGTGTACAGGCAGTAGCACCTTCACTCTGCTTCCCCATGCAGCAACCCCATATTGTAGCACAGAGATCCTGTGGGCAAAGCAGGCGCCATACAACTGCTAGTCCCTACTGTGAGCTAATGAGTAAGAAGGGACAGGAGGGGGCAGCATCAGAACACAGTGGTGGTGAGCCCATATATGGGGTGGGGGTGGATGAATTTTTGACACCTGGTTAGGGGTGTAGCAAATTATCCTTTCTCCTCCACCTACCCCAATCCTCAGAGTGAGGAAGTAGAACTATCCCTAACACATTTAGGGGGGGAGGGATAGCTCAGTGGTTTGAGCATTGGCCTGCTAAATGCAGGGTTTTGAGTATAATCCTTGTGGGGGTCATTCAGGGATCTGGGGTAAATCTGTCAGAGATGGTATTTGGTCCTGCCATAAGAGCAGGGGACTGGACTTGATGACCTCACAAGGTCCTTTCCACTTCTGGACAGCTGCATGGCAGTGGGTGGCTGTCCCTTTGCTCCAGCTAGAGCTGGGGCATGCAAGGTGAGGTTGTCCCAGCTGGGGCAGCCTCGCTAGCTGGAAGTCAGCCAATGAAGTTGACTAATTCAAGAAACCATGCCTATTCAAGCCAACATTTAAATACATGTTTTACTTTAAGAGGATGCTCAACTCCTCTTGACTTCAATTAAGCCCTCTCCAGAAGTATAATTGTGAACTTATATGGCTATTAGGTCATCTTTTACCTAGCATTCTGAGAAATCAGATCAAGGAAATTTAGATAAAGCAATAAGCCCAAAAACTAAGCTAAGAATTGGTTGGGTTTTTTTAATGTCACAGGTTTCTTTTATTATTTTACTTCTAAATGTAATAACTGGCTAGTAGTAAAATGTTAAAAGAGACATTTTGAAACTGTAACTATTACTTAACTAAGACCCTGTGGATGTGGACCCTGTCTAATGCTTCTATGAACTTTTCTGGTATTTTAGGACTTTGTAGGAGGCAAAAATAATTTTGAATATAGGTTAGGTTTTATTTGTGTATTGTATGTGCTGATTGCATTTCTTAGCCTGTTTACTGGAGACATTCAGAATATAGTGCTGCAGTGAACAACATTTTTAGTTTTTGTTTGCACATCACCTTTTAATGCTAATGCTAATGTTTGATTATAGCAACAAGCTGAATCACTACTCATGATGAAGTAATTTAAATTACACATTATGCTCTCTATTTTCTGTATAATGATAGAGGTCAAAATATCCATCAGGTCAGGCTGTCTTTCCAGTATGAAATAACATGTATTAAGTGCCATAGTGAAACCTGAACAAAGTTGAAAACTTCTCTTTATAACCCCCACAGCTTTGGTATACATTAAACCAAGATTCAGATTTGTAAAAGTGAAGGTCTAGGACTGAAACATGTTACTCAGAGATGCACACTCAGTCCCTGGCACAAAATTCAATGAAGGTGTGTGTGTGAGTATGTGTGAGAGCAGTTAGATGTTGCTAATCATTCTTTCCAGCATACACATGGCAAGTAGGAAAATGGTGTCATTGGTTGCTAATATTTGCAGAAATTACCTTATTCCTCTTCTAAACTGTCACACCAATGTCTCTGAATATGTTCATCTTCAAATAATCTTAATTCCTTGACTTAAAAAAGTAAAACTGGGAAGTAGATGAAGTAAACAGTTTAATGGTGTACATGTGTTAATGAGGCATTCCGTGCAGAAATGACACCATCCAGTCAAATCCCTCTTTGTGTCTGTTATTACTCTAGTCATTTCCAATACGGAGAAAATTGTGGGAAATGGAAAATTGAAAAAAAATGGAATGTGGTTCTCTATCAACGAGTCTAAATTTATAATTAATTACATAGCAATTGAAAAGGACTTCTAACGCAATGCTTTTTTGTATTCATTACATTAGGACATGGCTACTGAAAATTTTGCAGTTTAATTTTATTTGATCTCATATTATTTAAAGTCATGCACCTTGTTAATTATTCCTTGTTTTAGTATTCTTTCTTCCACAACGTTTAAAATATATATAAAAAAGATTTGTTAATAATCTGTGGGTGCTATAGTGGCACATATCCGAAGAAGTGCATGTGACCTCAATGTTGGTGCACTAAACAAAACTCACTCTGCTCATGGATGGACATTCTTAGAGGGAACACTGTTCATAGGTCTACAAGCTACCTAGGCTGAGATTTTCCAAAGGGAAACATGCTTTTGAAATCATGCGTCCATTGTTGGATGTGCATTTGAGATGCCTTATGAAGGCTAATTTCCAGAGGTAGATGTTGGCTACTTTCTGAACATCATCTCCCTATAAGATGTCTCTGTTTGGGCACTCTAAAGGAGGCACACAAAAATCACAAGTCACTTTTGAAAATCTTGGTCTCAGAAGTTATTGTGAATAACCAAAAGGCTTTTTAAAGAAAACAAATTAAATACAAGTAACTAACATGATTCTATTAGTGTGTACACAGTATAAATCATTTTAGAAAATTAAACCAGTCAGAAAAACTCATAAGTGGGAGTGAACTGGCAAAGTTCTGTTCTGAATTACACCTGTACATTGGCTTTACTGGAGATGTCCAAGTGGAAGTAGGAGCAGACATTGTTCCACTGTTTATAATTTTTATGAAAAACTGGATAGGCAGGGATTCATAAAACATATCTAAGGAGCAAATATCTCTTTTTCTTTGTACTGACCAGATGTTTTTAGAAGGAAGTGTTGCAGTGACACAGAGTAATGCTTCTGCATTTAAGTACTTCACAATGGCAGCTGAAAAGGTGAATAATCTGGTTTTATATAATATTTTAAAAGTGTATTTGATTAACGCATCAATTAGTGTGTAAATTACAGGAGAAAAGCATGTAATCAATTTCTTACATTTGATGGGAATATTGTTCAGTTATAGATTTTTAAGAAGTAGGTAAATATAGCACACTTCCGAAGCCTATAAAATATAACCCAGTGTTATGCAGTTGGTAATGTTAAAGGTAATGGAAGAACAAGCAGAAAAGTTGAAGTAGAAACAGGAGGTAGAACTGTCATTGTTCATGTATAAACTAAATGCCCAGTTCTGGAAGATGCTAATCATCCTCAGCTCTCACTAAAGTCCAAGGCATTACAAGAACTCACTAAGTGGTCTCATATTGTATAGAACGAATGAAAAGTATCGGGTTGCCTATTAAAGTACTATTATTCTATGTCCTGGTTTTAAGGAGATGCTGGATATTGGCAGAAGACAAGTACTTCTTACAACTGAGATAGTAAGATAGAACCGCCTTTGTCAGGGCTGATCCCCACTCTGGCACTCCAAGTGCAGAAGTTGGGGGCCCACAAAGACTTTAAATATACCTTGCCCACTACAAGCACTGGTTATAAAAACTTCCTCCAGAATCACAAATGCACAGATTTGCGGGGGGCTGGAGGAACGGGGGGTCGCTACCACCATCAAATGATTTTTATCCCTAAAACCATGGGCAAACACTTAAATTCTCCCCCATGGATACCCCAAGCTCTTCTGCCACAAGAGTGCATGAAAAAAGGAGAGAGACAAACAAACTGCAGTTCCTAACTGTCAGGGTAGTCAAACACTGGAATAAATTGCCCAGGGAGGTTGTGGAGACTCCATCTGTGGAGATATTTAAGAGTAGGTTAGATAAATGTCTATCAGGAACAGTCTAGACAGTATTTGGTCCTGCCATGAGAGCAGGAGACTGGACTCGATGACCTCTCGAGGTTCCTTCCATTCCTAGTATTCTATGATTCTATGATAATTTCATCTGGTGACCCCTAGTTCTTATGTTACTGGAACAAATAAATAACTTCCTTACTCACTTTCTCCATACCTGTCATGATTTTCATAGACCTCTATCATATTCCCTCTTAGTCTCCTCTTTTCTAAGCTGAAAAATTCCAATCTTTTGAATCTCTCTTCACATGGCAGCCATTCCAAACCCTTTAGAATAAAATCCACAAGTTCTGATGTTCTCATTCTGTCAAAACATCATCAGAAACAAACCATCTCCACAAAAGTTTCATTTTGACAAACTGGCAAATGCTGATGAAAAAAGCATTTCATCAGAATGTTGTCTGCCACTAATCCAGATACTTGGGGACCCCTGTATAGTGTCCAAAATTGAAGGTTGCTACAATATATGTGTCAGAATCCCATTTTCCAGTGGGAGGGGAAATACCTGCACAATCAGAGCATTTCCTGCATGTGTCCCTAAGAGCCTATCAGGGCCTATTTTTTTGTGGGGGGACACAGCCTGCTCTGGTTTTACCACCTACTCAAGCCACTTTTAAGGAAGCTTTTTTATTTAATGTCAGTGAAATAAGATATGGAGAACAAAAATGAAAGCCACTTTTTAAATATAAGGTATGGCTACAAGCATTCACGAGAGTCCTCAGAATAGGAATACTGTACTAATTTAGCATTAATCCATAATTATTATCAGAATTCATAGTTCTAAATTCCTTATATCATAGTAAAAAGAAAAGCAAGAGTATCTAATTGATTAATAACTATATATGATAGATGTTTACTTTATTGCAAATACTTTTCAATGTCTTTAATGAGAAATTACATTCAAATTTAATACATTATTTTAGGGTAATGCAGTTGGACTGTGGGGGCTAGGCCTTCTTTATTTTCAAGGAAAAGGTGTTCCTGTGGTAAGAATTATTTTAGTAATTTCAAATATGTTTTCCAAATACATCTAGTAAAAATCAGAGAAAATAAAATGTTTAATCAGTATCTGCTATGAATTAGCATTTCCTTTAATAGGAGATTGTAGCTCAAATAGCTATAATGTAGCTTATTCAAGTGGTGTAGCTAATATGATAATAGTATGTACTACAAATATGAGTAATTTTTCTTGTAATCTGAACGCTATCATGCATACACCATTGTGTGTCCTTAATGAAGTTCTTCCTGATTTATACTTGTGTAACTTTGAACAGATTGAGGCTCAGAGTCCAGTTAAATAAAAAAAACAAACCATTGGTCGCTATTATTCCATTGAACTTTGTGGCATTGGACTGTGTATAACTGGGATGAAATCAGAATTAGAACCCTGATCTCAAATACTATAATAGAAAGACAAAAACGTTAGTTTGATTTTGTTTTTAATTTTTGGGGATGTAGTATAACATTCTGCCAGTAAAATTGTGCCACCCAAAGGTGGGAGAAATCTTGTCTTTTTCATGAACACACAATTCTTACTGTGCTAGGAGGTACATAGAACTTTCAGTAATGGTAGGTAATTACCTTTCAGAACTATACTGAAGCTTTTAAATACTTCCATAAAGCAGCTGAGAAAGGCTTGGCAGATGCACAGTTCCAACTAGGAGTCATATATCACTGTAAGTATTATATATTTTTCAAATCAAATTTGCATTTATCAGTAATCTGTAATTTTACAAAAACTAAAGGCTCCAATCTCGACTTGATTTGCAGCTGGCACTGGAGTAAGAAAAGACTATAAACTTGCCTTCAAATATTTTTACTTGGCCTCTCAAAACGGACAACCCGTTGCTGTTTATTATTTGGCTCAGATGTATGCTGCAGGGACTGGAGTGTTTAGATCATGTCAAAATGCAGTTGAGGTAAAAAGTATATTTTTAATGATTTGTGATTAGTTATAGAATAAAAGGCAGAATTTTTATTACTATTTTAACTTACATTTTTTATGAAAATTGATTATATGCTATGATTTAAAGTAAAAAATCTGCATTTTCTGAAGGAAAAAGGTAATCATATGTGGGCCAAATTCTGGTTTCAGCTACATTAGTCTAAACCCAGAACAACTCCACTGATATCAACAGAGTTTCTCCAAAGTAAATTAGAGTATAATGGGGTATGTCTACACTAGCCCCGTAGTTCGAACTAGGGAGGCTAATGAGGGCGACCGAAGTTGCTAATGAAACACGGGATTTAAATTTCCCACACTTGATTAGCATAATCCCGGCTGGTCGCCATTTTGGAAACTGACTAGCCCGAAGTAACTGCCCACGTCTATACGTGGCAGAGAAGCGGGATTCCGAGATAAACCCTTTAGTTTGAATTAACTGTTATTCCTCATGGAATGCGGTTTAACAGTAAATTCGAACTAAGGGGTTTATCTCGGAATCCCGCTTCTCTGCCACGTATAGACGTGGGCAGTTACTTCGGGCTAGTCAGTTTCCAAAATGGCGACCAGCCGGGATTATGCTAATCAAGTGTGGGATATTTAAATCCCATGCTTCAATGGCAACTTCAGTCGCCCTCATTAGCCTCCCTAGTTTGAACTAGGGAGTAGTGTAGGCATACGTATGGAGAGTAGAGACCCATAACATGGAGGTATAATGGCCTTTACACCTCAGAGTAGTAGGATACATAGGCCATGTCTTCACTTGCTACACTGGCATTTCTGGCATTAAGACCTGCTAAATCAAATGCTGAAGAAGGCTCTGGTCAGGGCTGGTACACCTTGCAGGATCAAGAAGCAAGGGAAACCGACTGGAGCATTTGCTCCCATCAGTCTCCCTCTGTGAAGATGGTGCCAGTAGGCTTAAGATAAGCCAACTTCAGCTACGTATTTTACAAAGCTGGAGTTGCGTACCTTAACTTGACCTTTCAGATCTAGTGTTAACCTGGCCATATTTCATGCTAGTGGAAATGGGATAAGTTTTGAAATTAAAATAAAAAAAGAAAAGTTCAAAATTACTTAGAAAAGTTAGATGTCTTCAAGTCACCAGAGCCTGATGAAATGCATCCTAAAATATTCAAGAAGCTGATAGAGAAGGTATTTGAGCCTTTAGCTATCATCTTTGAAAAATCATGGAAGTCAGGAGAGATTCCAGAAGACTGGAAAAGGGCAAATATAATGCCCATCTATAAAAAGGGAGGCTTGCTCCAAAATGGTATGTAGCCATGCCCATAGTGTTTAGGGTCAGAAGGGATAACAAAATCATCCAGTCTGACCTCCTGTACCTTACAGACCACTGGCATTACCCAACGCCAGCACAATAAACCCAACCACTGTAATTAAAGAAAAGTATTACAACCCTCAGTCCTGAGATCAATTTTTAAATCTATTTTTCTGACTCTTCACCCAATTAATTTACTAATGTAAGTACAATACTTATCAATTTGGCGCTCTTTAAAAAAAAAGTAGGTTGAGTATGCCTAAAATATCAAGGTTTGATTTAACTTAGAACTATTCATCCCAAAGAATCCTAAGTATTTGTACATGACTATTGATATAACGTTTTAGGGAAGATTTTCTGTGGCTGTTTTTATTCTTTGCCCACAAATATTCATGCCTGTTTTAGGATTTTATTGGAAGTTCCAGTTTTATCAAGTTTTCCATGTACTATAAATACATCCAGTTCAACTGACCCCATTTTTGCTCAGGCAGTTAACTGGCAACTTTAGCACTATATCTAGATTTTGTACATTCCTGGTTTTCTTATGAAATACATATGCATTACAAGACTTTCTATAGTAACATAAGAAATATTGCTCTGAGACATACTCTTCCATCAGAATCTTTACATCTTGCAGAAAGTTATCCTTCATCCACAGTGCAGATCAGAGTGAGGTTCACCCTCTCCCCAAAAAAGAAGAGGACACTACCCTCTAATACACAGCTTAATTGGGGTGGACTTTGAGATAATTGGGGGGAATGCCAAAATATTATTATCTAGTGCCAGTACTACCAATTCATAACAAGTCAGAGTTGAATCTCACCAGCAGATGCTAGTGACAAATGACCAGTACATTTGGGGGCTATCTTGTGCATAAGCTATGGACAAATATGAAAACGAGTCTTCTAGGTTGAGTTCCTCTCAGTTTTTCTGTTGGTAATCCATTCCACTTTTCATAAAATAGGTGAATAGTCATTGGGCCAAAAAAGTGACACTTACTGGGGCTGCAAGAAATTCAGGTTCAAGTTCCTGCTCCCATAATTATTTATACAAAGCAGAACAGCTTCAACAGGAGAGACTGATAGAGTCCCCAGCCTGCAGTCTGATGTTTAGGGTATTCAGCTGGGAGAGAGGAGATTTGGGTTCAAGTCCCTGCTGCAGCGTAGAGATTTAAATTTTGATTTCTCACATCTCAGGGGAGTGCCCTAATTATTGGACATGTGGGAAGGCGGGAGCACCACTACTGGGTTTATTTGTGAATGATGCCTAAGTCCCCTTCAGAATCTCATCTAACAAATTTTATGTTGTCCAATATTATTTGGCAAATATGTCACCTTTGCAAATTTGACACAAAATTGCATCGGGCAGTGAATAAACTATTAATCTGAAAATGTTCTCTCATCTCTAGTTGAAATCTTATTTGTGGCTTAATATTCAGCAGAGCATCTTAAATAAATAACATTTGTTGTATAAAGAAAAACATTTTTGTTTTTAATCAATGTATTGTTATATGCAACTAAGGAAGCAACTTTAGAGTCAGATTCACCTGACATTTAATGATTAAGTACTCTTTCTATCAGTTAAGGAGGCAATTTAACCTAGTGTCCCCTAGCAGGAGCTACCAGGTAAGATTTAATTGAGATTTAATTGAGTGAAGTGTAAAACCTCATGTATTTTTCTATCTCTGTTCCTCTGTTCAGCTTTATCGAAGTGTTTGTGAACTAGGAAGTTGGTCTGAAAAATTCCTGACTGCATACTTCGCTTACCAGGGTGGGAATATAGATTCATCTCTTAGTCAATATGCTTTATTAGCAGAAATGGGGTATGAAGTAGCTCAAAGTAATTCAGCTTACATTCTGGAAACTGGTAAGAAAAGTTACATTACTGTTTCTGTATATTGTATATGTATAACCAAGTGGTGTTTTGAACAATGCAAATTCAATTTTTCTTTTACAGAGCAGGTTAAAATTCTCAGTAAGGAGCAGATGTATCCATTAGCACTTCTCCTGTGGAACCGAGCCGCAGCTCAAGGTATGGAACAATCATGTTAAAAATAGTTTGTAATTTGCTGTCCACTCTTTTAAGTATGCTTTTCTTCAGCTCTGCTGCTCAGATTGTACAGCCAGAAGACAAATGAACACCCAGGTCATGTCTACACAGCAGGGCAAAAGTTGAATTAAGATACGCAACTTCAGCTACGTCATTTGCATAGCTTAAGTTGAAATAGCTTAATTCAGCTTTTGGCACTGTCTACACAGCAGGAAATCGAAGGAAGAACACTCTTCCTTTGACTTCCATTGCTCCTCATGAAATGAGGGTTATGGGTACCAGAGTAAGAAGTCCTCCATCTCGACATTATTTCAAAATAATAGTTTGCTGTTTAGACATAACAGTTTGTTATTTTGAAATAACGTCAGTTATTCCAAAATAACACTGCTGAATAGATGTACCCTCCATGGCCCAAGAATATGGCATTACAAACTTCAGATAATGAAGCTAACATCTTTAAGGGATTGATTCTCACACATAAGTAACTCACAGTTAAAAGGATATCTGTACTATAGGTTGAACCTCTCTAATCCAGAGCTCTCTCATCTGGAAACATCCATAATCTGGAATAATTTTAGTTAGACAGATGTCCACTTTTCATTAGTGTGGCCAAGTTTGTTTACGGCCACCAGTCCTGTCTCTCAGTGTTCTGTGCTGTTATTTATCTCTAATTTACCTCTAAATGTCCTCTCTCAGCCCAGTATGAGAGGGGTAGCTGTGTTACTCTGAATCTGCAAAAGCAGCGAGGAGTCCTGTGGCACCTTATATGCATGCTTCTGACGAAGTGGGTCTTTGCCCACGAAAGCTTATGCTCCAACACTTTGGTAAGTCTATAAGGTGCCACAGGACTCCTCACCACTCTCACAGCCCAGTAAGCAGTGGAACTGTTAGTAATGCTGCTAGACAATATTGACCTCCTGTGGTCCGGAAAATTCTCTCATTTGGAACCGGTCAGGTCCTGAAGATCTGAACTAGAGAGGTTCAAACCTATACAACCTTAGGCATGTTAAAAATAATCTAACATTCAAGAAATTTTCACATCTCTGGGTTAAAACAACCAACTACTCATTTATCCTCCCTTGATTCATTCTTCATTCACGGGTACTTTATCACAAAACTTGGACTACAATCTTTAAAACTATGTATGAAAAATGGCTTCTTTAACTAAATAAGCACCATGAAAAAAATTACACCTACTCACTAAAAAATATAGGAAATTTAGAAGCATAAAGATTTGTAAAGTATGCTTACTTGCTAAATGTGCAGTATATATTTTACTGTAGTACAGCTTGAAGAATCATTTGGGATCTGGAAAACCATCTCTACAGTTCACAAGTATCTACTTGGGGAGAAGATTTCTGAGGCTGCATCTACACTACAGAGCTTTTACTATCATAGCTCCAGCAGGATAGCCCCTTTGCATAACCATAGACATTACGTCTATATTAACATAAGTTTTTCTGTCAGTGTAGAAACACCACCTCCCTAAATTACATTAGGGCTGTGTCTAGACTGCCCCCCTTTTGCGGAAAAGGGATGCAGATTAGCCACAGCGCAATTGCAAATGAAGC